ATATCGTCACTTGAGTGTCGTAAAAGATTTTTTTAAATAAGAGTGACAAACGAGCAGACAGTCCACCTGATGGTAAGTGGATGCTGTGGCCCATAGACGTCCACATCTTTCCTCGATTAAGAATCAAAAAGTAAATGCGTTGCCACCCCTGAGGACTAAGGTAGAATGCCCCGTTTCCAATAAAAAAGGTCTCCGGTTCTCTACACTCACTATACGAAATGAAACAGCGGCATTGAGCTACTATTTTACGCTGGTACTCTGTGAGAGCGTGGTCATTCACTGGTTGAGCCGACCCACTCGTGCTACAACCATAATATAGCTGCAGCATGGCTCTACTACATAATGACAGGGGCAACTGAAATAGGACATAAGGGAACGTTGTCATTCTAATAACTACTAAAAACTAAAAAACTGGGCTCACCAATCCGCCTTTCAAGTTTTGCAACTACTACAAATTCCACCCTATGCGGCAATCCATGGGGGGCTGTAGACTTTTGATAGGTTTATTACGCTTGATTTAAGCCTTAAAATTTTCACAATTCGTTTATAATGCTATCTGTCATTATTGGTAATGTTTTGCTGTTGCTTCTTTGGTCCCTTGCCTTTGTACGATGTCTAATTTTAACCCGACCTTCAAAAAGGGACGAGGTTCTATGGAGGTAATGTTTTTTACGCAATACTTTCGCCGAACGTGAACTGATTGTGATAATTCTTTATTTATTTATTAGGTTATTCGTCAAGGGTCGCTTGCACATTTGGAGGAAGAATATTATCAACTCTAAGAGTAACAACTGTCCCGTGCACTACATATAGTTCATTACTACGGTCTTACTATTGTGTCTAAAAATATAACCATTTAGAAAACTTTAAGATTATGATATTCCTTAGTCTACTTAAAAATGTAAAAATAACTAACTTTTAACACTTCAGGTGTCGTTAATGGGTCCAACAGACCCAGCAGTTAATATATTGTTTAATAACTATTCAAATTCGACGTTTACAACGTTGCCGCTCGTAATAGTTACCTTTCAACGATAGTGTAGCACAGCAAAAATGACGATGTTGGTAGTGTGTTTAAAAAGTTAGTGTCAGTAGAAGATCTTGTATTTTTGTTATGTTTTTTTTAATTTTTTCTATGATGATTGATCACCCTTTATTTCGTATAAGTAAGTACATTATTGTGTAGGAAAACACAGAAGTTTTTATTTGAAATAAGTAATTATAGAAATTATAACGATAAGCCTAAAATTTGTCACAAAACTATGGACAAATTTAGTATATTTTCGTAACGGCTTCCGTAAAAGTAAAAATAATAAATATTAGTATTTGATTTAATAATATTTTTTTTTTGCACGTATCGAATCCTTATCAGAACGTAACCATATATGTACATTTATAAAGCAGTTTTGAAATAAGCTTATGATATTATAATAGCTCCATTGGACCCGGTAGCCGAGTACTTTCCTACGAATTAAGTGTTAATAAAAAGTACAAGATGACTACGTACAGATAACTAAAAAGAATAAAAAAATTAACATTCCGAAGTTGGGACTTTAATTTTTCTACCACTAAGTCTTAGCATCTTACTATACAAAAACTATCTATTTGCAATATTAGCTACAACTTTAATGCAAAACGGAGTCCATCTGATCTGACTCCTACTTTCCGAGGTACATCTGTAGATTTCTTATATTTATGCGGAGATTACACATTAAATGAAAGTAAGTTTTACGGATTTTATCGTATATATTAATTTTTATTTTCGTTATATATTAATTTTACTTTTTAATATCCGATGCCCCCCCCCCCCCCCCCGTGACCACGGATGCTGTAAAGCACACGAAACGTCGGGAATTAAAAAGTAAAATTAAACGGATAAAATCCGTAAAAATTAGTTTTATTTATATCTGTAGAGGTCATCTCGAGCTTCTCGGCATACAGTTGAATGCCAACCTCAACTTTGGCGCCGACATTGAGCCGAAAGCACAAACTACGGCCAAACAACTGGATATAAATAGGGTGAAGCGATACTTCACGCCTGGACAGCTTCTAACTTTATACAAAGCTCAAGTCTGAACATGTATGGAGTATTGCAGTCACCTTTGGGATGACTCAGCAAATTATCAACTTGCCGCAAGCGGCTTATCGGTGGCAAACTGGTGGAAACTAAGCTTCACAGCTTCACTCACTGCCGCCAAGTTGCCTGTTTGCAGGTCTTCTACAGATTATACTTCAGAGAGTGTACCCAAGAGGTTTATAAGCTCATACCGCCATATCCTCTCTCCTATTGGAGTATCAGACGCGCTGCAGGTTACCTACCACCTTCACTTGGTTAATATTCCTAATAGTCGCACTAAGATCTTTAAGTCCTCTTTTATAATGCGCACAGCCAAGGAGTGGTATACCCTGCCGGCGTCTATTTTTCCGAGTGCATATGACCTGAACCTCTTCAAAGTGCATGTAAACAGGCTTCTCCTTGGTAAACTCGCTCCATCGTAGACCTCATCTTTGCCCTCGGGTCGGATGGAGGTTAAGAGTAAGCCCATTTTAATAATAATAAAAAAGAGAAGTTTTTTAATTAGTTCTATGTTATTTAAATTAAAGAATATTTATATTTTATTTATATTCTTATTAATTTGAAAATTTTTAAAAATATTATTAATTCAAAAACAATGGCTCAGCTGGACCGGGAAAGGACCATACCTCATAGAATACCGTCGCCTGTCACTTCGTTGACCGAGTGTAGGTAATTGCAGTGGAGTAGCGTGTCTTAGAGGGGCCCTGTATCAAAATTTGCCGGGGGTCCAAATGAAGGGTAAAGATTTTTCACAAAAGGAACAAAAACTTTCGCATTGAATTAAAATAATTATATATTGATTATAAGTTATTACTTACAATTAATACTCCTAAGAACTAAGCTAGCCAAACAATTCAAACCCACATCTTGTCCCATAGAAGTCCTCAGAAGTTTTGCTTACATACGTGTACGTTCGGGGTCCCTGTAGCCCGGGGGCCCCGTATCGTTGATACGGCTGAAACGGCGGTAGCTACGCCCCTGGGAAATTGTTTAAAAGAAAGCTAAAGTAGCTCTTACTCTTTATTAAGAACGTAATTTATATCGATTATTACAAGGAAATTTGTTTTAAGCAGCGTACGTAGTAGTGGCACTTTTAAAGGCTTTTGAATTTCGAAAAATACATCTCTCTGTATGGTTTTCGTTTTAATTCCTATTCAACAAAATGTGTAGTGCACAGCTAAAATCTCGCCTATTTAAAAATGAGCTAGCTCGCTTGTAACCAATACCGCTCCCACCTGGTGGTAAGTGGTGATGAAGCCCTAGATGATAAATCACACTATCTTAGCGTAGCAACATCCTATTCACTCTTGTCATGAAGACTCCTAGATTGTAACCTGACGGAATGTCAGACACTAATTATATTAATAAATTACACGTGTTTGCTGTACGCATAACAAAAAACAATATGTGACAGCAGTACTCCACAGCTTGCACTCACCACACTGGCGGTTGGGTTAATGGGCGCAGAGCTGACACCCTCATACTACTCCCCATCCCCAGTTGTGAATTATGGGTTTGGCATTTTTGTATGGAATTGCCGTTATCCCTTGTTTGATTGATCGCCAAGCAAAGCTGAGCCTCGTCCGTCACTCAAAATTGCTGCTTAAGGTGAGATTGGAATTACTAGAAACATGCCAATCCCAAAATCATATGAATAGGCATATTTGTCCTTACATAAAATTTTCAGTTGTAATCTGTAGGTATGAAGAGTTGAAAAGTTACAGCCTTTACTTCACACTACTGGGCACAGACCTCTTCTTATTTTTAAAAGGGTTTTAGGGCAAAGAAGTGTCCGCGACGCTACCCCAGTGTCTTGATGCAGTACTTCACATAATATATTCGTTGCTTTTTTCACAGACTCTCGGTTTACTCATGATGTTTTCCTTCACTATTGAGCATATTATGATAAATCAGCGCATAAAATTATTGTAATTAACAATTTTATTGTTGCCGATGGGCATCGAACGCAGGTTGCTCGCATATAAGCTAATTTTACGGCTAGTGCTTAGATCCTGAGTTTCCGCGGCTGGTGGCCATCATTAATGGTAAAAAATCTGAACATTATTGTTTGCAATTTTAAATACTGATTTATCACATGCTCGTTTTCTTCCGATGTTACATCGGTGATGGACAACATCGTGAGGAAACTTAATCCAGGAAGCTCAAAATAACGAGGACGTCTTGAGTCTGCCAACACAGATCAGGGCAGTGCAGTGGTCTTCCTGTCGCTCTTCTGCCTAAAACCCTTTTAGAAATAAGAGGATGCCTGCACCAGTGCTGTATTTAAACTGCTACTTTATTTTGTACACTGTTTAGAAATAACCGGTAATGTCATATAATATATGTACATTAGACATGGAACGAGTAGTGACTCGCCGAGTACTCGGCCAGCGGGTACTCGGCCTAGATTGAGTCGAGCACTCTGCCGAATACTCGGCTTTAAAAAAAAAGCGGTAGCGGGCGGCGTGCGGTTATTTCCCTTAGAAACTAGACACAAATAGAGAAATATAGACGAAAAACTAGCGTTTTTACATCAAAATCTTCCTCTCTTAAATTTTAAATATTAGTAATAATAATTTATATTATAGATTCTTATTATTTCTTCTAAGTTAAGTTCCAAATATTTCTGCTGCTTCTCATGTTCCTGATGTTTTAATGTGTCTAATATTATAATAATGATAAAAACTAGTTTTTTGTCTATTTTTCTCTGGGATATAATTAAGGCTGAGTACTCGGTACTCGGCCGTTAATACTTGGTGCTCGGCCGAACCCAAAAAAAAGGCCGAATCCGCCGAGTACCGAATCCAAACCGAGTACTCGTCCCATGTCTAATGTACATGGCCTTCTGATCTTCTGTGTCCAAAGTAATGCATAGCTTTAACATATTTTTTTAATTTCAGACAGTTTTATTTTTTTCTTTCAGCTTGTACGCGAGAACTTAACGGAAAGAAATCTTCCGAGTGGCCAGTGCGTGATTTGCCTGTACGATTTTGTCGAGGGTGATAAATTCACCAAGACCCAATGTTACCACTATTTTCACAGCCATTGCCTTGCGAGCCATCTGATCGCTGGGAAGAAATATTATCAAGAAGATTTAGATAAACTTCCCAACTGGCAGCAGATGCAAGCCCCGCCATATCAGGTAAATATAATATATAAAAATTAATGTTTGTTTGTTCGTATTTTATGCGCTGCCATGCCGTTCATATTGATTGCGGTAAAACTTTGTCAATATATTGCATGCACTTCCGCAAAGGTTATAGGCATAGTACAATTAACTTCAGTAGCTGGCGCGCGTCTCGTACAGACAAATTTATTTAAAAGCTATATATCATTATACTTAAATGAATGTATTATCATTACCAATTTAACAATATAACTCTTCCTAATTTAAAACGATATTTTTGCAATGAGGGCTTCCACCAAGCAATTCACGACTTTTTCTGCCACCAGGACGGCGCCACTAGAAAGTGAGGTATAATATTTGACAGATTTCATAGTTAATTTGTTCGGAAAATGTAAAGGTTATTGTTTCTTTCTATACTATTAGCTATATTTTATATTAATAACATTAAAAATTAACCAAACCACAGATATTCATGAAAGAAGAAAAATTTAAAAAAAGTTAAAAATGTGCAAAAAATTATAGAGCAAACCACTGACGCAGTGTTTCGTGTATTAATATAATACTCTAGAAGCTGATAAACTTTTATTAAAAACCAATTTCTCAATTAAATTACATTGTGTAACAAAAAACTTTACCTCAGTGTCAACTAGCGACATCAGGTGAGCAGAAAAATATTAGCCGTAAGAAATAATGAGTATTTCTTCTGCGGATGCGCCGGTGACGGGGCGCTAATGTTCTATGATAAATCTTTTCGACACAGCAGCACGAATTTTGATTCGTTATCCCGGACTGGTTGTCACAGAGTGGCTGTAATATACCCTAAACGTCAAGATTTAAAAATTAAAAAAGAAATCCACTAACGTATTTTTATTCAACTTGTGGGCAGTGTTTAATATCCATGTCACACCTATGCCGGTAGTTGTTGGGAGCACTAAGCTCGAAGTTGTTGACGAGTATGTTTACCTGGGACAAATAGTCCGACTAGGTAAGTCCAACTTCGACCGAGAGGTCAATCGACGGATTCAACTCGGCTGGGCAGCGTTCGGGAAGCTTTTTTTATTTTTTTATAGGAGAGAGGGCAAACGAGCATGCGGCTCACCTGATGGTAAGTGACTACCGCCGCTCATGAACAGCTGCAACACCAGGGAGGGAATCGCAGATGCGTTGCCGGCATTATAAAAAGGAGTACGCTCTTTTCTTGAAGGTCCCTAAGTCGTATCGGTCCGGAAAAATCGCTGATGGTAATCGATTCCACAAGGAAGTCGTGCGAGGAAGAAAATATCTTCTAAATCGCACAGTGGTGGACCGCCAATCATCTAGATGGTGTGGATGGTATCGGGAGTTCTGCCGCGATGTGCGTTCGTGAAATTTGACGGCTGGGATTAATCCGAACAATTCCTCAGAGCACTCCCAGTGGTAGATGCGAAAGAAAATGCAAAGGGATGCAACATATCTTCGCAGTGCCAATGAATCGAGCCGATCGGAAAGGACTCGGTCGTCGACGATTCGAGCCACTCTGCGCTGGATGCGGTCAAGTGGAAGGAGCTGGCACTGGGGAGCCCCTGCCCAGAGATGGGAACAGTATTCCATGTGAGGCCGAACCTGCGCCTTGTAAAATTGCAGGCGGTGTGCCGGCATGAAATACTGTCCCGCTCTGCTGAGCACGCCAAGCTTTTTAGAGGCCAATTTGGCCTTCTCTTCCAAGTGACCACGAAACTCCACGTCACTCGATATGTCGACTCCGAGGATTCTGATACTGGCTGAGGCAAGAAGGGGAGTGCCTTGAAACTGAGGAGATACGACAAAGGGGTTCTTTTTAGCAGTAAACGCGCAAACTTGTGGCTTCTGAGGATTAAACTGGACTAGATTTAGTCGCCCCCAATCCGAGACTTTGTTCAGCAAAGACTCGACTTCAGACACAAGTTTGTTCCGGTACTCGGCGACGTTTTCCCGAGAAATATTGGTACGACCGGTGTATAGTGCATCACCAGTACTGTCATCCGCATAGCAATTATTGTTACCAGTTAGCAACATATCATTGATATTCAGAAGAAACAGCGTTGGTGATAGCACACAACCTTGTGGAACTAAAACTAATTGTGTTAAATTTACAACAACGAATGTTAAAAATCTGAATACCAATGTGTTTTTAAATGGGGAGGAATTGAGCCCTGTTGTATCCACTGTTTTTCTTGGCATCACTCTTGACGCAAAGCTCCAGTGGGGCCCCCATATATCCAAATTAGCAAGCAGACTAAGTTCTGCAGCCTATGCTGTAAAAAAGATTAGAGGTCTCACTAGTGTCGAGACAGCTAGATTTCTAAAATAAATTTTGTAAATAGTTTGTGATCATTTATATTGTAAAATTTATTTTAAAAAAAAGTCCCGCTGGGTTTCTTTCTGGTTCTTCCCAGGACAGAGGTTTTTTTTCGAACCAGTGGTAAAGTAAAAAATGACTTTCAATAAGAATTACACATGTAATGTATATTGAATAAAAAATATTCTATTCTATTCTATTCTAAGAACACCAGCGTTAATTGGCTTGTAGTCGGAGCATGCACCGTCTACAACGACCTTTATGCTCCGATCTGCAAGGAAGCTGGTGATCCAATCGCACAATTTCTCGGGAAGCCCATAGGAAGGGAGCTTCGAAAGAAGCGCTTTGTGCCAAACCCGATCGAAGGCCTTCAATGTCCAAACTAACGGCCAACGCCTCCCCCTTGGAGTCTACTGCCCATCTATGGGTCAGGTAGACCAGAAGATCACCAGCAGATCGACCCCGACGAAAACCGTATTGGCGGTCACTAATCAGCTGGTGATCCTCAAGGTACCGCATGAGCTGGCAGTTAATAATTGATTCCATTATTTTGGAGAACAAGGAGGTGATCGCGATAGGCCTATAGTTGGACGGGTCTGAGCGGTTGCCTTTTTTAGGGATCGGGTGGACAAAAGCTGTCTTCCATGAATTCGGGACTACGCCTTGGGAGTATGAGTACCGGAAAAGACGCGTTAGGACCGGTGCCAACTCCGGAGCACACGTCCTCAGCATAATTGGGGGATTCCGTCAGGTCCACTCGACTTCTGGATGTCCAGGGAGAGGAGTGCTTTGCGAACCGAGCACTGTGAGATCAGCACATCCGGCATGGAGCACTCACACCGCGGGATGGTCGGCGGTGTTTTCCCCCCGTCATCAAGAGTCGAGTTGAACGCAAAAAGAGAGCCTAAAAGGTCGGCTTTGTCTTTTGCGTCTTGGGCCAGTGAGTCGTCCTCCCTGCGCAGAGATGGTAGTGATGGCTTACAGAAATTCCCTTGGACAGCCTTGGTGAGAGACTAGAATGCACGGGTTCCCGAAGGAAGGCGAACTAGTTTCTCGCCAATTCTGCCCATGTGCTCTGACTTTGCCTTGGCAATAACTCTTTTCAAGGACCTGGAGGCGAAGTTATACTTTTTTTTTAAGTGTGCTGGTGTTTAGATCCCGAGTCGCCGAAGCCGCAGCCCAGGCTTGATAACACTCCTGCTTACTGCATCATGCAGTCTTACAAGAGCGACCAAACCAAGGCTGAGATCTGCCGCCGATGGGTACCACAGATGATGGAATAAATAGTTCCATTCCCTGTAGCACCACATCAGTGACAGAGTCAGCTGTCTCGCCGGATGATCCCAGCGTAACAGCGCTGGGATCATCCGGCGAGAAGCAAACCCGCCCCCATGGGTAGGATGCAAAGAAAGGCCGCATTCCGTCCCAATCCGCCGACCTGTAATGCCAAACACGGCGGCAACCTGCAGAACGCAACCGCGAGGGGAGCGTGAGTGGCACCACACTCCGGATCAGACAATGGTCCGAAGAGCCGAGAGGGGCATCGACGGAAACCTGATATCCGTCCCGATGAGAGGTCAGCAGAATGTCCAACAGGGAAGGTGTATGATCCTCCACATCTGGAATCCGCGTAGGCGAAGTAACCAGTTGTGTCAGACCATATGCCAAAGCAAAGTCATAAACAGATCTCCCCGCATGATCGGTTAAAGGTGCACCGAGCCATTCGGCATGGTGGGAGTTAAAATCGCCAAGGATCACGATCTCTGCGGATGGGACCTGTTGTAGCAAAGAATCTGTAGCCATTTGAACGTGGTCAATGAGTCGGTCTGTTTCGGCATCTACGACACATCTTCTCGTCAGACATACCTCAAAACCTTAAAACGAAATTGTACAACCAGTGCGTGTTGCCAGTGATGTCTTACGGATCTGAGACGTGGTCCTTCACTGCTGGCCGTATGAGGAAGCTCAAGGTCGCTCAGCGAGCTATGGAAAGTGCTATGCTCGGAGTTTCCCTGCGTGATAAACTTAGGAATGAGGATATCCGCAGTAGAACCAGAGTAACCGACATAGCCCAACGGATTAGTAAGCTGAAGTGGCAATGGGCCGGCCATATAGCTCGGAGAACCGACAACCGATGGGGAAGAAAGGTTCTTGAGTGGCAGCCTCGTACCGGTAGGCGAAGTGTAGGGCGACCCCCCATGAGATGGAGTGCCGACCTGGTAAGTCATGCAGGAAGTCGATGGATGCAGGTGGCTCAGGACCGTGCTTTGTGGCATTCCTTGGGGGAGGCCTATGTTCAGCAGTGGACTTATGAAAGGCTGTAATGAATTGATGAATGAATTAATGTGGGCACTGTTTGCGTAAATTTAAGAAATCACTAATCTAGATATGTTGCTTGCAGCCATCATGCCCAGTGTGTCGCAGTGAGGTATCCTGCAATGTAGATGCTCTTAAGGAAGCTCCACCGCCGATCGAATCTAACAATGCAGAACCATTTCGTCTGACTCCTGAAATGAAGGTATGCTTGATTTAATTTTTTTTTTTAATAATATAAAACATTAATAAATTTAAAGTGTCGATTTCCTTTAACTCTTCAACATATCTTTATTAGGAACAAAACTAGTTTTTAGTTTTAACAAGTTGTTTAAATAAAAACTATTGTTTCCATTCTTCTGCCGACTTCCAAAAAGGAGACGGTACTCAATTCGGCTGTATGTTTTTTTTTATGTGTGTTACCTTATAACTTTTTACGGGTGAACCGATTTGGATGATTCTTTTTTTATTTGAAAGCTGGTACTTCTCGTGTGGTCCCATGTGAATTTGATCAAGGTCAGACCAATAGTTTTTGAGTTATTCTTAATAACTCTTATTGAAGTCGGCTGTAGAAAATTTTAATTTTAAATTATTTTGTTTATATGTTCATAAGGTTTAATGAATATACACTATTAAACAATTTCCTTAACTGATATTCACCAAATAAAAGGTTCTTCGAGTTTTGCAGACGACGTTATGCAGTATCTCGAAGGTAAGCTTCAGAGAGAGCTACGCTCGAAGTTTATTTGCACGATAGACATCGAAATGAGGATGTCTGCAGTAGAGCCAGAGGAACCGCCATAGGCCAACGGATCAATAAGCTGAAATGGCAATGGGCTGGCCATATAGCTCAAAGAAATGACAACCGATGGTAAAAAAGGTTCTAAAGTACCAGCCTGAGTGAGGACCTGCTGGGCTATTCACAATCGTCTCGGAAAGCGAAATCGACTCGGATTCGATAACTTCTCGCACCGAAACCAATAAACGCTATTCACATTTAACGTTCGGATAAAGGTCACTTAGATACATCCCATACCTATTGTATCGTCATTTAGTTACATGCATTTACGAATTTTGTAGATAAATAGGCTTTTGTATTTTTTTAGAGTAACGCCTGAACAAAAACATAATGCAATATTTTGGTGTTAGCCATTGATATCGAATATAAAAAATATATAATTTAACTATATAATAAATAACAAAAAAACTGAGATATGTCTCGTTTCACAAAGCAGCATATATATATATATATATATATATATATATATATATATATATATATAGAGAGAGAGAGAGAGAGAAAGAGAGAGAAAACTCTACTTCAGACACAAGTTTGTTCCGGTACTCGGCGACTGGATGGGCTGGCTTAAACCGTGGCTGTACCACGACCTTACAGAATACCAACGTAATGTCGAAGCTTTGCTTCTGCGTTTCGTTTGGTTAGTGCAGGGGAGTGATCCGTGAACTTCTGCAACATTATGTGCCTTCACACGAACCTTAACGCCGTCGACTACCATCTAGAGACGGCGAAGCCGGCCTTGCTCATTTTGACAGAGACGCAGGTGTCCTCTCCGTCTGATCCTTCGTACCTGTCCTACCCGGGGTACAAATTAGAACACTTCTTTGTGACCGCATCCAGCTCAGAGCCTCTCGAATCGTCAACGATCGAGTCCTTTGCAATCGGCGCGATTCACTGGCGCTGCGAAGAGATGTTGCATCCCTTTGCATTTTAATAGAATCAGGTGTTACTTTGCCGAAATCCATTATAATAATAATTAATAAAAATTGTTTTATTATTTCTCTCAATACATTATCATGCATTACATAAATTGAGGTAGCTCCAGTAAGTTATAAAATACTTGTGTTGGAACTACCTCGTTGCTTCCCTTAAAGCTACCTTACAGTATTGACAGACCAATCCATACAAAATAAGAGAAAAATAAAATTCCGAAGTGAAAAAGAGATAGTGGATTATATAAAATTCTACATTATAAAAGCTTTTAAAAAATTACTAATAATAATTTATTTGGTTGGAGGGTAGGCGTGCGTTGCGCGGCGGTTTGTTTTTAATTTTACAAACGGCTGCGTAAGTTCGGCGGTGATTGGTCGCATGTTTTATTGCATGACGCGGTCGCTCGCTCCTTAAGCAGGGAGCGGTTGCGTCAGCGGTCTGTATAAAAGGCAGTTGTTTTGGCTCACCGCTCACTTAACGGTCAGCCACCGTAGAGTCTATATCACCTGAGGATGCCTCGTGTAGAGGCGAAACACGTGTCGTATTGTCGTCAGTGGTGTGTCTTGCCTAGTGTAGTGGTGTTGGGAGTAGCGGTGCTGGGATTAGTGGTGACGGGGATAGTGCACGCAATTGAGGGAGGGCGGGAGGTGCTCTTCATACTAGGTAAGACACATCGTTTTATTTTATAGCGCGGATGTTTGCGAAGTAAATTTTTTAAAAGCTTTTATACCTTTGCATTTTCTTTCGCATCTACCACGGGGAGTGGTCTGAGGAATTGTTCGGATTGATCCCTGCCGCCAAATTTCACCAACACACATCGCGGTAAAATTCACGATACCATCTGGATGCTTGGCGGTCCACCACTGTACGTTTCACTAGGAATTTTCTTCCCCGTACGACCTCTCTGTGGAATAGCTTACCACCGGCGATTTTTCCGGACCGATACGACTTAGGGACCTTCATGAAAAGAGCTTACTCCTTTCCAAAAGGCCGGCAACGCACCTGCAATCGCCCTGGTGTTGCAGTTGTTCATGGGCGGCGGTAGTCACTTATCATCAGGTGAGCCGTATCACAGATTACTAAATAGTTTAGGAAACAGATACATCACTCCCATACAAAAGCGAAAATTCTACGTTATAATAGCCTACAAAATCTTAATAATAATATCTGATATTCGCAGCGACAAGAAAATGTACCATAAGTACGCGCATAAAGAGTCGAGATTGTGTTGACCGCCGACCTATGATGATTATTGTCATAAAACGAATCTTGCGAAATAACCATATTTTTTATTTGTCAATCAAATATGTTTGAGTTTTATAAAATGATTTATACATTTTTTTCCTTCTCTGAATTCTCGGTTATTAAATCTTATCGTTGAAAATATCCTAAATCGCGTAAATAATTTTAATAAATAATCATGAGGAAAACATGAGCAAAGCGGAGGAAAATCAATGGTTTGTAAAATTTGTACACCCATCCACTTCACAATAATTACGTGGTTTCGGCATTTTGACGAGTAAGCGCGAGAAAATTACTCAGGCGGGCGTGCGGCAGCCCAATGTCGGTTGTACCGTGGGCGATACGCAAAAGGGTAGGCATATAACGCAAGGCCTTGAGCGAGTGACGGAGCCTGGCCGTATGCTCGTCGTCTCCTATATAAAAAAAAGATAGGTTATTGATAGTACTTATTGAATGCCATATTTAGTTAAATGAACCTGTTCTGTTCCGGAACATAGCTCTGTCTTCCCAAACTAAACACTAAAAATGTTATAGTACGTACGGATGATTTCGGAATTTTGACATCATCGATTAACCTTACCTCACGGGTCCAAATGTGAATCTAAACCATTTTCGAAACAACTTAGTCACACACACACAAAGTTTCATCAAAATCGGTTCAGCCGTTTAGGAGGAGTTCCGTCACATACACTGACAGAAGAATTATATTATATTGTTTGAGTAACTTGATTTGATATTTTGTTTGTTGTAACAGTTCTATAAGATTGTACTAGATGGCGCCACAGTCAAGTTAAATCGCGCTGTAGTTATTTTTCCCATGCACTGTATAGGCTGTTAGCCTTTTTCCTGTGTAAGTTCTGCGGGGTGGAATAAATATCTCATTCGTTTTATTTTTGGGAGGACCTCACATAGGCGGTTCATATATTATATAAAGAAAATGCTGTTTATACTATTTTCGTTTAATAAATTTCTGGAACGTAACGATATATTTTGTGGGATTTAATTGTAAAAACGTATACATCGCTCTTGCCATGAATTACTGACTCAGAGTCGAGTGACTGTCATTTACTAGTTTGTGTTTGATCGCCTGTTTGTTTTAATATATGGAGGAATGTATATCACTTATTTTTTTTAATTACAGGCCATGCAAAAGTACATGGCCGGCATACTAGACCGGCAAATAGCTAAAGGAGGTGTCGTTGGAATGGGAGATACGGGACCACCGCCAATTACCATAACCACGCCGGCTGATACTGAAAATGTAGGTGCATTTATTATTTAAGTATATTTTTTTTTATAGGATAAAGGTTACTACAAGCGAGTACACAGTCCACCTGAGTAAGTGATGCAGATGACGACGCATCCGTGAAGACTAAGATGGAATGCCTCTTTTCCAGTAAAAAGGGTCTCCGGTTCCCTACACTGACCATACGAAACAGCAGCATTAAGTTGCTATTTTACGCTTGTATTCTGTGAGAGCGTGGTCCTTCCCCGATCGATCCGACCCATTCGTGCTACAAATATACAATTAATATAGCCGCAGCATGACTCTGCCACGTAAAAAAAATTAAAAAAAATGTTGGGGATACTACATTTTTTTGCCAGCGACAGTAAAATTGTGACCGCTTAGACCATTACTATCAGCTGGACAGTGATCTGCGGGTACGTTTGTCACTTGTGTGTAATGCATTAAGAAATCTAGGACCTGCAGGTAAACCCTACCACGTGGTGATAATATTCGGCTAAAAAATTATACTTTTCAGGAGGCGGCAACCAATGGCTCGCCAAGTAGCCAACAAGATGAGGCAAAGCCTGAGGCCATTCCCAACGGTCGACCTGCTGGTAACACCTCAAATGAGAATTCTACTCCTGGATCGCCGCAAGCGCAGCAAGCATATCGAGGTCCTTACAGGTGAGAGCAAAAATTATGTTTGAATTTTACCGTGTTTGATTCTTTTTTTTTTATTATTTGGTCATTGGGCAACCTAACCCAAAAAAAAACATTTATCAAAATAAAATGTATAATGTTGTTTAGAAATATATATTTCCTCGACATACATTCTGTATTTCTATGTGAAAATAAATTACTGGCAGTACATAAATGATGGTAGCCTGTAATAGCTTGACTGGCAGTACACAGATGGAATCCTGAGCTTAGCACTTTGATGTTCACTTCTTCTTAATAACTAGCTTTACGGCTCTGGGATCTAGCCCTTCTGAACCTGAAGTTACAATATATTATAATAATTATCCTTCATAGTATACTGCTTCACAATATGTTGATGCGTCACATTGTGCAGCCCTTGGGAGATTTTGACGGCAACTTGAGCCAGCAGACAGCTGACGGTTGGCGATGGTATCTCAAGGCGCCTAAGCAGACAGACGCCTTATTTGAGAATCACATCACCATCTGAGCACTTGTTTCACAGTTTCCACTAATAGTTCACATGCGCAGACACTTAATACACAAAATCGCACCACTTTTACGTATCAAAGTCCACTTCAAACCATTATTTAAACAATAATACAGGAGCAGCAATCCGCCGCGGTCAAGTTCCCGCCAAAACCTCCACTTTGATGTTCATTTACATAAAAGAAACAGAGTAGAACAACTAAGATCTCAATATAGATTAAAGTTAACAACAGGTGGACACAATATTGTCATGATGAGCAAAAATGTTATTGGATATGGGATCTATTATCTACACGTTTATCTAACTGCAGTGAAACCTGGGTAACTAGGACCGTAAGGGACCTGCAAATTTGTCTCCCTTAAAGAGGTATTCCACTTACCCAGTGTCTCAGACATTCAGGTATAAATAAATATCTGTCTCATTTACAGAGGGTTCCATTAATAGAATCCATTAATTGAGAATAGAGGTTATTTCAGTTATAGAAGTGCAATTATTAAATAAAATAACGTATTTTGTAAACATTATACATGAGTTGCAATCTTTATTAACAATAATAAAAGCCATTAAATAAAAATAATTTAGCACGTTTTTTATAAACAATACAAAAATGCATAGATTTTGGCACATTACATTCGTCACAGATTTCATCGCGCGGTTTTCCAGTTTCATAAACGGATATTAACTTTAGTTTTTCACGTTTTGATAAGTCTTAAGCCTTCATTTCGGCATTTTCAAATAAATATCTCGACAATAGCCAAACCAAACTAAAACTGGAGGTCACTTTTACACAAGCCATGTGCGAAATTTGCGGGTAGAATAAGAATTAGTAAACAAAACGGTACACGAAATATAGTCTCAGTAAAAGATGTAAAATATACTCGCTGTCTCAATTATAGAGGTAATTATGACGAATAAAATAGAAAGAACTAATCCCAGATATAGAGGTTTGTTTTGTCCCACTAACAGAGGTAATTCAGTGCTAAAATATCGGGACTTCAGCATGAGTTTCAGCTATGGAGGTTTCTCATTTATCCAGGTCCCACTTAAACAACTTTTACTGTATATACGACAGTACTTATACTTATACTTACTTATCTTCACGCACAATCCCTGACGGGGTAGCCAGAGAGAACAGATCGCCAAGTGTCACGATCCTTACAAACCTCTTTCGCTTCTTTCAGATTCATTATCTTCTTCATGCATGCACGTCTAGGTATCCGAGTACTTTTGACCCTACCCTCTTCGAGCAATTTGCTCACATGGTCTTCGAAAGTTAGTCTCGGTCTACCTCGACACCTTTTAATATTAACTTTCGCGCTATATATTTTCTTCACCATTCGGTCTTCACTCATTCGCTCAACGTGCCCAAACCACCGAAGCACGCCCTTATCAATTTTTGTGATAAGGTCATCTTTCAAACCTGCCATATTGCGAATCTCTTCGTTTCGCTTTCGGTCGGCCATGGTAACGCCGCACATTTTACGAAGAGATCGCATCTCCACTGCATTCAACTTACTTTTATGCTTCTTCTGGCATACCCAGGTTTCGCTGCCATATAACAAAGTCGGTACCAACACTGCGTTATGTATTGCAAGGCGTGCACTCTTCGCTACGCCTTGCCTTTTGACTAACGCAGTCAGGGCACCATTGACTTTGTTCCCGGCAGCGACACGCCTGTCCACATCTAAATCACATCTTCCATCCCGGCTAAAAGCACTCCCCAAGTATACAATTTCATTTACCTGTTCTAGACATTCCTGATTTACCCATATTTCACACTTCGTTCTCTCTTCGTCCCTTTCAAATACCAGAACCTTAGTTTTATTAGCATTCAAACGGAGACCTTTAATTTCACATTCCTCTTTCATACACGTGACTAATGCCTGCAGTTCTGCCTCTGATGGTGCAATAAGCACTGCATCATCAGCATACAGCAGACAATTTACTTTAATGTCAGCCAATTTCACACCCAAACAACTATCTTTCAGCTTCTGTAAACAGCTGTCGAGATACAGTATGAACAGCCAGGAAGACATGACACAACCCTGCTTTACGCCCGTTTGGACGTTAAACATGGGTGACAGGTCATGCCCTACCCGCACACAGGCTTTACAGTCACAGTAAAGAGACTGCACAGCCCTTAGCAATCGACCATGCACACCATACCCCGGCAACAGTTCCCACATTTTCTTCCTTACAACCTTATCAAATGCTTTCTCAAGATCCACAAAAGCACAGAAAATCTTCTAGTTAGCAGCCGGAAGCTTCTCCGTGATCATGCGGACAGAAAACATTTGATCCGTGCATCCTCTTCCAGGTCTAAATCCGCATTGTGCCTCCCATAGAAATCTTTCCGATTTCTCTTGCATCCTACGTGTCAAAAGCTTCGAGTAAACTTTACTTGCTAAACTGGTCAAGCTGATCGCCCGATAGCACCCGCAGTCAAAATGTGAACCTTTACCTTTATATAAAGGCACAATGACTGCGGATCGCCAATCATCCGGGACATCCCCCGTCCGCCAGCACAAATTGCACAGCAGATGAAAGCTGTCCCAGACGCGAGGCCCACGATACTTGACCATTTCAGCAGTAACTCTGTCTAGTCCCGCAGCCTTACCACATTTCAAACTTCGAATCGCACGTTCAATCTCTTTCATCCTGATGACCTCAGTGTCATCGAGGTCCGGGTCTGGCGTACCAGTCACGGCGTCATCCCCGGATCCCTCACTAAGATCATCACACGCATACATTTCTCTATAAAATTCGCTCCATCATATACGATAGTCTGTTTGTAATATCGAAATAACAGCCTTTTATTGAGCTCAGGGGGTTATTTGCATGCTATTAAGACATTAAGAACCATTTCTAAAATTTTTATCTGTCTGTCTCTCTGTCCGGGTTAATCTTGAGAATGGCTAAACCGATTGCAATGAAACTACACGAACAGACAAAGAGCAATGCCCCGACTGATCTTGGCTATATTTTATCCTAAAACCTTGGATTTTTTCTAATATTAAAAAATTGATCTTAATAATATACAGTGTTATTTCAGAGTATCCAAATTTTATATTTAAGTTCAAAATATAAATTACGATATACCTTTATTGCAGTTTTTGTAAATACGAGTAAATAAGGCTTTTATTTGAAATTGTCCCAAATTGAATGTGATTTATGGGCAAGAACTACGTACGCGTACGCGCGATCCTCTGTGTGCGATTTAATTCACAACGTTTTTGCTGACCTTTACTAATGTGTGCGTGCGTAGTAAAATAGTAAGGGTCAACGTGTACTGGGCCGTTTTGTGTGTATTAATTTAGCGTTTGCGGCCAACACTCGCCGACAAGCCGTATAGTGTCGGTTTTCCGTGCACAAATCAAAGAAATTTGGCGCAAGCCGCAAATAGCGATCACACGTTGGCCGAGTGTTCAGTTCATAGCTACGCTTTACGGCTTAATAAAATTATTTCACGAACATGGCGACATGGCCTAATGAGGAAATATTTAGGTTCATTGATTCTTATCACAATGAATCAGTTATATGGAACCTCAAATATGAGCAACATAAAAATAAGGCCGCGATCACTAACGTCCATCATCATCTAGCTACCAACGCAGAATGAAGTATGCCAACGTGTGAACGGCACCATAAAAATCTGCCGAGCGGGCTCGCCAAGCGCGGTCGACCAACGTGTACTGGAGCCTTTAGATATTTATGAATGACAATCGGTTAAAATAATGCATTACCACGCATTCTGAATTTAAAAAATAAAAATAACAGTTTTATTAATATTTTTTCACCATTCGCATATATTACTTATTCTGAACTTTTTCTTCAGATTTGGCCGTATATTGCAAAATAACCCTGTATATATAGATGTAACCTTATTGTCTAAGCTGATATGACGCGCCCCACTACCGCATTTACGCACACAGATAAATTTTAAATACGGACGCAATACACATAAAATGCCATTGTACTTGGTCAATGATCATTCAGCCGCTTGGACTCAAACGTAGGAGCACTTGTCGTTTGATCGCAAAATTACCGTCAGTTCTCGGACTTGTTGTTCAACTGGTCATAAATGACCTGAACGCGCGAAAGAGCGGAGCTATTGTTTCATACAATGCGATAGTTGCGACATTGATGGATTTATCGCGCTATTAGTCAACCGTGATGTACGCACACAGATCCAAGTTCACGGAACAGTGGACACATCTACACAGATACAGTGTCGTTATTAATATTTTGCACTTACACATCTAAATCAACTAATTAAGTAGTGTGGCGCGTCATTTTAACTTGACTAGCTCTACCTATTTGATTTAATAATATAATTCGTAATGATATTAGGGGCTTCAACCGGCGCGGTAAACCCGGGCGGCGCGGGCGCGGCGCGGCGGGCGCGCGGTGACACGCGTCGCCGTCGCCTCCGCCCTCCGCCGCCTAGCCGCCGCCGCCGCGCCGCCGCCCCAGCCCCAGCCCCAGCCCACACAATCTACACCCTAATGCCATAACAATACCGTTCATTTTACAAGAGCTCAAATCTCTTTTTCTTTTTCAAAATGAAATTGGTTGGCATTCCAAAATTGATTTCTTTTGTCAAAGATTTAAATTCAAATGTGTAGTGTTTTGTTACCAAGTGAGACTTACTTTTTATAAAACTAAATTGAGTTTGTCCTTTAGTGTTGCTACACTCTTGAAATCGGTGTTTAGTTATTTGCAGTACACTTTTGTGAAACTTTTGGAAACATTACTCATTTTAAAAGTGTTATGTAAATTTGTATACACGATATTTTATTTTTTAAAAGAAAAATTTATAGGAGTATGGGTGTCTGTGCTGCCAGTCCGCATTGAGATCGAACGCGGTTCAAAATTCAAAAATGTGCCATTACCAATGGGTTTTAATACAGGGTCCTATTTTTTTCGGTCGGCCGATATTAGTCGGTTCGTATCGGCTACTTCGAGACTGACGATTTACCCTAACTCGCTTCTAAAATATAAAAAATCTGTTAATAGTGTTCCTAATTGTATTGTTTGCTTCTCCGTGCCAATTCCGGTTATCTTATTGTTGTGCATCGAATTAATTTGCTGTAGGACCATTTGTAATCCGATTTTTTTCAATTAATAGCATTATCATATAAGCTATATGTGCATTGCACTCGGTTGTGAAATATGTTTTTTGTTGTGTTAATTATTGTCGTACAAATTTCAAAATAATATCAATTTTAATATAGTTATATTGAAAATATCTATTTTAATCATAATTTTTTATTAAAAGGTTGGAGTAGGTTATCTGAATAATATATTAAATTAATTATTCGTCAACTGCACAACAATTTATAAGTACTTTCCAAATATCCCAAATTGCTCTATTTATATAAAATTATTTTATTTTAATATGCAATTTTAAGTAAATTTAAAGTAATTTTATTGATAAAATCTTAAACAATTTTTTTTCCTTTGGGTTTTAAGAAGTAAATCATCAGTCTCGTAATATTCAAAAATGTCCCATGTTTAAAGTTACTGCATGAAAAATTAGTTTAACAGTTATGGCAGCACAAACATAATGCTTCGGTAGATAGTTCGCTGGCAAATTATCAAGTTTAAAACTATTTGGTGGTTATCTAACTAACCAATGAATCTAATAAGGCTAAAGACTTCGTTTTATTTTTTCGCTTAGAAGGCTCATTTGACAAATATAAATGTCAAAGTAGACAATATCTTTTTGTATGGACCCTATTGAATGGGCCCTACACAAATTGTGGCGTAACATGTAACAAATGACATGAATTTCTATTTATTCGTTATAACCTATAAATTTATTACTGTTGTAATTTATATTAGTTTTACCGCATCTAACGGGAATACTTAGAAATTAACAAATAAAATATGAATATCGCAATAACCTAAAAACAAATATTATTTTTTTCAGATTTCATGATTCTGGTCAGATTTTCATAAAGTCTTTAGGCCGTTTAAGTACCTACTATAATAAAATGGTATCTTTTTTATATGTAACCTTCCATTAGGTTACGTTAAAATTTGTAGTGGGTCCTAAAACGATTGTCTCCTTTGAAAACATTGATGTTTCTTATGCGAATGTCTTGAGCCCAGTGAAACGTCTGTATTTTTATTTTAATCAACATGAAAGGTTTTTTCATAAAGTTACCAGGAGAAAATATTTAAAATAAGCTAAGCAGCAACACATGAATTACATTTTTGTCTCCTATAAAAATAAAACGGAGTGTAGAAGTACTTTTGCTCTTTTGTATAAAGGTTTTTTAATTCCACTCATATATATGTTCCGTTAATAGTCCGAACATCCCTATCAATTAAGATTGTATCTGTATGATACTCAAAAAAAAAATCTTTATTTATTTCCCCTTAGCTTTTTGATTTATATTACAGGATATGTTAACTATAGTAAAAATAATCACCATTTTTAACTTTTAATTATAGTAGAGTATAAAACAAGTTAAAAATCACAAATTACGTAAAAAAAAAAACAATTACGTAAACTAAAAAGAAAACGATCCGTGGTCATGGTAACATTAACAATTTCAAAATGTCAGTACTAGACTCATACTGCGAAATTTGTGACCGTTTTATCGTATTTACCAAATTGAATGGTGCAATCGCAACAGAATTAATACTGTTTTTTTTTCAATCTTGCATATAGGAATAAACGTTAAAAAGTACAGCCTATGTACATACGTCCCACTGCTGGGGCACAGGTCTCCTGTCATTTCTGAGAGGGTTTGTAGGAATGTTTGGACCGAAATATATCTATTGTTGTTGTTTATGGTGGGTTAATAACCATTTGTTTTTTTTTATCTAAGTTTATTTGTCATTATTCATAAACACCGTCAATGGATAAATAAGGGTGGGGCGGCACAAAATATTTAATGGTAATCGTTCAATGTACTCTTAGTGTAAGGCACTTTTCTGTGACGAACTCTAGTCAACCCTTTAGTATCCCGCATCAATAAATTACTATAAGTGTCATGTTTCACTTACATTTTGTTTTTCAAAAACTCTGTCTATGGTATAAGTATACGGCAACTAACATGGTAAGGTTTTGGCGTGGTGGGTGAAAGTTTGCGCATGTACAACGAGACGTACCAATTGCGCGCTCGAAAGTCGACTGGCCAACCAATCGCGCGCTCTGAAGTCGACTGGCCAACCAATCGCGCGCTCTTAAGTCGACTGGCTGACCAATCGGGCGCTCGGAATGATGCCACTACGTTCCCGCGCCCCGCTTGATAACCAAAGAGATCTAAAAAACGACTTCTGCGCATATAACGAATCTTGCCAAGTTAGATGCCGGCAACTATATTATGTATTTTTAACGTTATCACACGTGAGTAACACAAATAATAAAGCCAGGAAAAGTGATTAAAAGCATTCAATGCCCATAATGAATATAATAAAATACTTATTTGTGACGGCATGCAACGTTTTAAAATATGCTGAATATTAAACAGTAATTGAAACTCACACTTGAACTTATTTTACATTTTATTTTAACTTTTGAGTGGTGATTTTTTAAAACCGCAAAGATGTGCTTAAACCGATATTAGATAGTTGAGCTTACATTTCAATGAATCGTTCCGAATGAAAAACAAAATAAACACATTCATTCATAATTCATCAGTGGCTCTTTCCTATTAAAGTAGTTTGGCTACGATGACTCACATCACTATCTTTCAATATTGAATGGAAACTGAACAATGTAATGTAAACTTTAAATATTGAAAATGCTTAATGAATGGGTACAGGTTGCTTTTCATTATAATTTTTTTTTTTTCAAGCAGTATGCTATTCTTCCAACACGATTTTGCATCAACGTGGACTTTAGATCAATAGTGCTTTATTTTTTTAAATTTTTAGTATTTAAAAATATAAAACTTTGAAATGAACAAAAAAAAAGAAACTAACGTTAGTAACGTGTGGGTAAACACGCAACCTTTCATCGATCAATACGAATCACAATTCACTACAATTTATTCAGGAAAACCCGTTCGGCGAGAGTTGATAAATATTATGAAAATGTCTCGCAATAACGACTGTCGCATATGTATCGCAAACTTTGTGTCGAGCGACGCTAATGCTTGCACAAGATTTTGTGGTACGAGGTTTGCAGCTGTTGTCAGGCGCGCAGCAGCACAAATAATTAGCGGGCCGAAATTTGTAATGAGTTTAGACACCCTGCTTACTTTAAGAACTCTCGACGAACAGACCATAAAAATGAACTGTCTAATTTCATCTTAATCTGACTCATTTTCATTTGCACGAAACATATTTAAAATATACGAAACATAATAAAATCATCTCATGTTACCTGTTATCCTGTAGGACCTTTGACATATTACGCCATTTTAGCTAATGGCTATACTTTGCGTTACTCACGTATTATTATAAAAAATATATATTTCATTTCCTCTTTACACAGTAAAATTTTATTTTGCTATAAATGTATGATAACCAAATCATATAAAGATCAATTGAGGCGGAGTTTGTTTTGCTTACCATATTATACCGAACGGTAAGAAAATTAATATTAATTTTAGTTTGTTTATTTTATTCAGTTATTTAAACAATATTATTAAATTGTGCGGTTTTAATAAAAAAATGTATTTTGTTAATAATTATTAATTTGTATTCATACAATAACAATTATATTTGTTATTTAAATTTACCTATTTGTAAATTATTTACAAATACCGGCCATATAAATATGTTATTAATGGACATAAAAGATATGTAATTTTTTCCATAATTTTCTACTACATTGCTTGTCTCACTTTGAAAAATTATAACAAGTTGGTCTAACCCATGCTCGCTAAAAACTGTAGATATGAAATTTGAAATAACATCTCTTATAAGATCTACTAAAATTTCTAGGAAAAAATAATTGTATTTATCCAAAAATCATCCCCCGCAAAATAATATCTATGTGTTTATGTGGATATGAGGCCCAGTTAAGAAAAGGTTTGACAACCCTGATATACGACATAGTTAATTGGGATTTTAAGTCTATAGTACGAGGGTTGTGTTTCGTATGTAAGTAGTTTGATACTTAGCGTTTGCTTAGACATAGTTTATTTGCTAAGGTGCAGTTTATTTACTGGTATGTATCAATGAAATTAATAGTAAATTTTGACGTTTAGAAATTATAATGCTGCACGCATTAAAATTTTGATCCTCAACTATGACTAAAGTACTTGATGTGTAAGAAATGAAGATCAAATATTTTCATTAAACACACACCTTTAAGTGTAAGAACACGATAACATATTAAGGATGTTAACAAATGTCTACGACGTCACACGTTGTCAAAATTGTAATTTGTTTTGTTGACACTTAACTCAGATAATTGAATTATATCCGCACTTTATGCCTATGACACCA